GACGAGCTGAAACCACGAGCGTAAACTGAACACTGGCGTGGACATTTGTAACATTATTAATATTTTATCGAGTGTCTTTTGCATGCAAATGTAAAATATATTTAAAAAAAAAAAACAGTACTATGTACTAGTTTTGGCTTTCCAAGAAAAATTTGATCACCTTGTATAAGTGTAAAATTAATTAATTTCTAGACGAAATACCTCAAGCCTCTGTATAAACTCAACTTCAAGCCTCTGTTTTCATTACTCTGAAACTCGTTCTTTCTCCGCCGAAAAATATTTTAAAACGCAAAACTTGTAAAAATTCGCGCGTGTCGGAAACGTCGGTAAACTAGAAATCGACGAAAAATTTAACTTAACCTTTTTTTTTCATCCTTGCTTTCGACGAACGGGGGGAAAAAAAACTGGTTTCCTTTTTCGGCGATGGGATAAAGAAGCTTCGTCTACGTTGATCGAGTTAATCGAATTCGAATAATTGAGAAGCTGGTCAATTATATACAGGCTGTTTCATTTTTATCCCGCCGTATTCTGCGAACGCAACATCATTCGGCGGGATAAAAAATGAAACACCCTGTATAATATGAAACCCCCGTCTACTATCGACTTGAAACTTTGCAGACAAATTCCACATCTTTTCAATTATTGTTTGATCTGGGAAGAACCAGCGATAAAATGCTCTGGATAAAATGCAACGTTATTCCTAGGTTTATTCGCGCTCGCTCTTATCGATTCCCCAAATCAATTTGACTTCTTTCAAACTTTACAGTCGTACGTAACACTTTGTATGTAAATGTTATGACGAAGCGTGTTCTAACGTTTATAAAAGTTTTCCCAAACTCTTTGGAGTGTATTTCCAGTAGATTGATTTTGAATTCCATTAATGCGTACAGCGAGATCGTTGTAAAAATTAATGAAACTTTAAATAGGTTATATATGTTCGCGCGATTTTCCCGCGGCAAATGGCCAAATGCTTGGTAGATTCCTAGTTTACCGACTCTCCGCAATTTCCGCTATTTCGCTGGCTCATAATCTTAAAAGAAAAAGAGAAAGAGAAAGAGAAAAAATTGTGTGACTTTTTCGATTTTTGATTTCTTTTAGCAGATAAAGTGAACCTCTAATTGAAGAAATAGCCGTCCCATCTATT